AAACCACAAGATCATCTCAATAGATGCAGAGAAGGCATCTGACAAGATCCAACACTGATTTATGATAAAAATTCTCAACAAAATGTGTATAGAAGGAAAAGTACCTTAACATAATAAAGGCCATATATGACAAACCCACAGCCAACATCATACTCAATGGGGAGAAACTGAAAGCCATCCCTCTGAAAACAGGAACAAGACAAGGGTGCCCACTCTCGCCACTCTCATTCAACATGGTAAGGGAGGTTCTGGCCAGAGCAATTAGGAAAGGAAAAGGAATAAAAGGAATACAAATAGGCAATGAAGAAGTGAAACTCCTGCTGTTTGCAGATGACATGATCTTATAGAAAACCCTAAACAATCCACTGGAAAACTATTAGAGATAATCAACAACTATAGAGCAAAGTTGCAGGGTACAAAATCAACTTACAGAAATCAGTTGCATTTCTATATGCCAATAACGAACTAACAGAAAGAGAACTCAAGAAGACAATACCATTTACAATTGCAACAAAAATAATAAAATATCTAGGAATAAATTTAACCAAGGAGGTGAAAGACCTGTACAATGAAAACTATAAGACCTTATTGAGTGAAACCAATGATGACATAAAGAAATGGAAAAATATTCCATGCATATGGACTGTTAGAATAAACATAGGTAAAATGTCCATACTATCTAAAGCAATCTAGACATTCAATGCAATCCCAATCATAATCCTGAGGACATTCTTCACGGAAATAGAACAAAGAATCCTAAAATTCATATGGGGCAACAAAAGACCCTGAATAGCTAACGCAATCCTGAGAAAAAGAACAGAGGTGGAGGTATCACAATTCCTCATTTCAAAATATACTACAAAGCGATAGTAATCAAAACAGCATGCTACTGATACAAAAACAGACACACAGATCAATGGAACAGAACTGAAAGCCCAGAAATAAAACCTCACATCTATGGGGAGTTAATCTTCGACAAAGGAGCTAAGAACACACAACAGAGAAAGGCAAGTCTCTTCAATAAATGGTGTTGGGAAAACTGGACAGCCACTTGCAAAAGAATAAAGTAGACCATCTTCTTTTGCCATACACAAAAATTAATTCAGGATGGATCAAAGACCTGAAGGTGAGACCTGAAACTGTAAAACTCCTGGAAGAAAATATAGGCAGTACACTACTCATCATTGGTCATAAAGAGATCTTTCTGAATTCCAGGTCAACTCAGACAAGGGAAACAAAAGGAAAAATAAACAAGTGGGACTTCATCAGATTAAAGAGCTTCTACAAGGCAAATGAAACCAGGATCAAAATGAATAGGCAACCCACCAGCTGGGAAAAAATATTTGCAAACCATATATCTGACAAGGGATTAATCTCCATAATACATAAAGAACTCACACAAAGGAACAACAAAAAAACAACTCGATCAA